TCCTACTCGTTAACTTGAGGGCTTTTTATGGCTTTAGAGCCGGAGTCGCACCGAGTGGAAAAATCACACGGCTTCTTGAATAATTACGGACTGACTTACATTTCCCATTTACTTTTTATTTACATTTACAATAGTTTCATTTGCTCTTCAATTCTAGCCTTCGTCATCAACTGATTCAGACTTCGCAGCATGAGCAACGCCTCAGTTGTCATCCGCATCAGGAGTTTGAGGTTTAATCATATTCGAAAGTGCAAACTACAAGGCTTAGCAAAGTGCCAAGAGCGCCGCATACACGCTGACGTTCCGTCAGCATGGATGGGGTTGGGATATGGTAGCGGCATGCGGCCTGTCTATGCCACAAGTTGCATTTAAGGTGAAGTACGGAGGAATCGCTCTTTCCCACGGCTCGCGTGTTCGGACGGGGAATCGCTAGGCTTCGAGAGCCGGGACCCGGAAAGGTGCCAAGGACACACTTCGCAGCTGAGCGTGCGCTGCGTCTTTGAAGGCGGCTTAGTGGTGGTGCAGTTGCTCCACAATTGAATCCCCCTTTTTAAGAGGCGCTAAGTAGAAACAGTTGTACCAACAAGTGAAAGCTCGTCCAATCACGCCCGTTCTTCGCCTTTCGCACGCAGCGCCGTTCAGCGTTCTCTACATGGAACATTTCGGACGGATTTTTCTGCTCTCTCTTTGAGTTTTTTGCTTCGCTATGAATAAGTTTTGTTGGTCCATAAATAACTTGCCCCTGAGTTGAACTGGCTGATGAGTTTTGTGAGATTGATCCTATTCAGCCATGTGACAGCTTCGCGTGACAAGGACACCTGCACACCACCTTTGACGACAACTAATGGAGTTTTCAGAGCTTCGGACGATGGACGCAATGTCAGATCTGAAATATCGGACGATTATTCAGTGAGCGGTTACTTGAAAAAAAACTGTATAGATTACAGCGATTCCTTATCGGTAAGCCTCCTCTCAAAGCGTTAGTGTTTGCCGGGGTGTTCTTTCATAGTGACAATTGGAGCGGATATCCTAACACCCGCCTGAGCCACCCTGCCCACAGCTGTGATTAGGTGACGTCTTCGTGCCAGTATAGGCAACTTATCTGAGTGACATCCTTTTCAACACCCAAAGGTACGATTGGATCGAAGGTTCCTTAGCCTCTAGCGTTACAACGCCTCTTTGGAAAACTAACCCTATCGTGAGTGTTGGAAGGGAACCCATACACAGGAGGGGCGCAAAAGAGGTCATTTTTGGCTCCATTGACTTTCAGGCGCGTATAAGTTCACCTTATTAAATTTTTACCGGACATTTGACTTACCTAGCCATATTAAAAGAGTAGCACATTAAATACTATAATGATACTCCGCCACAGCCTTCTGGAGGAGCGCCATCGAGAGATTCGGCCGCGCGAAAGTGAGTGGGTACCGGAGTTGAGCGAGATCGTTGATTTCTCCGCCACTGTAGACCACCCTGTTGAGCTCCGCCCGAACTAAAAAGGTTTAAAATTTTTGGGGGAAAGTGGGTTCAGGTCAGGGGACATATTTCAATATTACATCTTCATCAGGTACGAAACGCCCTTCCATTCGAAGTAGGCGGGAGTTTTTCCAAACCCTTCGATTCCATGTGGTGGCACCCAAACCTGTAGCAGCACAAGGTCTCCAAGAAGGTACGGGCGACCACATGTAGGGAGGATATCCTTCTCGAGTTACTTGATGTAACCGCCAGCGCTCACCTTCAGTCGGGGTCTACAAAGAAAATATCGGTCTTCCCATTACAGGTACGGCCAGTGGAAGATGGACTTCATATTTTGGTGTACATGAAGGTGAATGGCGGCAGCCGGCTCCTGCTTATAGAGGAAAGATCTTGGGTATCTTCCGCCCTGTACTCATATCCACTTCCTCTGTCTGGGGCGTGCGAACATCTTCGGCTCATAGGTGACTCGGCCGTGGAAGACTTTTTTGGCCGCCTCCCTGGAGACGTTATGGATTTACTCAATAGAGGCGCCCATGAATTTGTTTAACGACCCTGTATACTCCTCATCCCTGGGACCGAGTGGGCGTGGCATTTCAACATGGCACGGTATGGGCCAATCATAGGATAGTTTTCTTTGAGACAAGGGGGACCCGTCACGTTGGTTTCTGTTATGCTGACAGGATATACGACAGATCTCGATGTTATTTGAGATCTGAAGAAGCTGCTAGCTTAGTTCAAGCTAAAAAACGCACTTTATACTACGGCCGATAGAGTCTCCAGTCAATTTTCTGGAGAAGCCAGGGAATAGAATGCGGAAATTATAGAAAAGCCAGCCTCAAGGGAGCTCAACTTACCCTGGAACACTCCTAATGACTCCGCGTCCCACTTCATGTTCTGGTCATATAACAGACGGAGAACATGGGCCGATTTCTGCATCATTCGAACCATTCAGCGCTTGAAAAATGCGTTTCAACTCCTGGTTTGTTCGGATCACAACGTCAGAGTCGTAAAAAGGCAATGGCATCACTGCGGTTACCTCATCTCTTTTTGCTACCTACCACATACAGTCCTTGAAATGATTTTTTCTGCAGGTGTTTACTGATTAGTTGTAAGCGCAAGGGCCAAGATGTCAATTAAAGGGAAGAAAGCGTTGTCTGGTATAAGTTGAGAAGCGCCTAGACAGTGGATCAAGGGAGCTTAAGGCTACTTAAAACCAAACTGCTAGCATCTCGAAAGCACATCACATCGGTTGTACCATTGCTCATCATTTCAACAGAAGAAAGAGATTGAATGTCGCCTCGAGAAAAACCGCTCTGGAGATCAGCTCAATAAGCGCACAGTCTTGTTGGCTGCGAATGCTCGGGCATGTCAGGGGGGGGAGGGGGAGCTGGACCGGCCTGTTTTCTACCAATTGTTGGCGCTTGTCTGTTCCCGCATTTGGTGGAGAAAAGGCTGGGGCTGCGTCAAACCCAGTTCCCTTGACACCTTCCGCAGCGGACTGCTGTACTGCCAGGATTTCGTACATTGAGCAGCTTCCTGGCGAGTCATGGGTCTATCGCCTATCTAGAGGCTTTTGTCTATTTATGGTCCCGTGGTGGTACTGCGTGCTTTGCTGCCTAACCGAGTCCGTCGCTGAGTGCTCTTCGGCACCGGAATGAGGACTCTGAGATTGCTGATCGAGCTTCTCCTGCCATAAAAAGGTCCTAGCTGCCAGGCACCCCAAAGAGGTCCTAGTTACCAGGCAATTACCTTCGAAAAGCTACTGTACTCTCGTACATGTGGATCGTTTTCCTTGCCTTGGGCGGGGCGAATGGGTTGCAGTAGCGTGCCACTTACTTTGCTCAGAAAGGCAAGATGGTGGAGCCGGAGAGTAGGGCCATTCGAGTGCCATCCTCATACTCCGCCCACCTGCAACACGGCCAACCACTGTCCTTCCGATAGCTGAAGGCGCTACTCGCCTGCGTCCTCTCTTTTATGTTCGTTCTCTACCACTGAATGCGTGTTTCGCCACGGGATTTTGATATCGGCTCAAGTGCTGCACATCAAGGTTAGCGCAGGTGGATCATGGAGACGGCCGCTACTACAGCTGTAGCATGTTCTTCTCGCACATGGAAAGGACCGCCCTAGGAAATGTACAGCTTGTCTTCAAGCTGGGCGCCATACTACTCCTGGTGCTCGATCGTCTGTCTAATTATTACATGCACGAAAAGTGAATATATGTCATACTTGTTGCAGGACAACGTATTGCCACGAGCCTTTATCCTCCAGCACTTTTAGGCAAGCCATATGAGCAAAATTGACATTTGTTCCGACTTTTCCATTAATTTCCAGAATATCTACAATTTGTCGTATAAATAAATGAGGAGAGAATGCCCAAAATTTCTTTGCAAACCATCAGTCAGATAAACGTTCGGTAAGCAAGAAGCTAGTTTTGCCATCCGTTCTTTGAACAGAATCGGCGACTTCGAATC